CTGCCCACAGACTCAACACTGCCCATAGACTTAGCACTGCCCATAGACTCAGCACTGCCCATAGACTCAACACTGCACCATAGACTCCACACTACCCATAGACTCAGCACTGCCCATAGACTCAGCACTGCCCATAGACTCAACACTGCCCATAGACTCAACACTGCACCATAGACCCAACACTACACCATAGACTCAGCACTGCCCATAGACTCAGCACTGCCCATAGACTCAACACTGCCCATAGACTCAACACTGCACCATAGACTCAGCACTGCCCATAGACTCAACACTGCACCATAGACTCAGCACTGCCCATAGACTCAACACTGCCCATAGACTCAACACTGCACCATAGACCCAACACTGCACCATAGACTCAGCACTGCCCATAGACTCAGCACTGCCCATAGACTCAACACTGCACCATAGACCCAACACTGCCCATAGACTCAACACTGCACCATAGACTCAGCACTGCCCATAGACTCAGCACTGCCCATAGACTCAACACTGCACCATAGACCCAACACTGCCCATAGACTCAACACTGCACCATAGACTCAGCACTGCCCATAGACTCAGCACTGCACCATAGACTCAACACTGCCCATAGACTCAACACTGCACCATAGACTCAGCACTGCCCATAGACTCAACACTGCACCATAGACTCAACACTGCCCATAGACTCAACACTGCACCATAGACTCAACAATGCCCATAGACTCAGCACTGCCCATAGACTCAACACTGCCCATAGACTCAACACTGCCCATAGACTCAACACTGCCCATAGACTCAGCACTGCCCATAGACTCAGCACTGCCCATAGACTCAGCACTGCCCATAGACTCAGCACTGCCCATAGACTCAACACTGTCCATAGACTCAACACTGCCCATAGACTCAACACTGCACCATAGACTCAGCACTGCCCCTGTACATGAAGCAGTCCCACATCCTTAACCTCCCTCCGTTCCTCTAAGCCTCACCACCTCTCCACTCCCTTCCTCTCCCCCTTCCCTTCGCCCCTCCACCCCTCCCCGTGACCCCTCGAGGCACCGCGTCGATCGCTGCTGCTGCTGCCGCTCGCAACCTCGTAGCGACGCTCCCTTGCCCATCGACATCATCACCTTCTGTCACCGTTCCGAACGACATGTCATCGTGCGATTTGAGTGAAAGTGCTCTGTAAATAAACGAGATTAGATACCGAGTTACGTCACACCTTTCTTGAATTGAAGCCAGGCTATTCTTATATGAGCTGGGGGAGGTGGGCGAGTCGGTGAGTGGGTGGGTGAGTTAGTGGGTGGGTGAGCGATTGAGTACGTGCGTGGGTGAGTAAGTGGGTGAGTGGGTGGCTGAGTGATTGGGTACGTGGGTGGGTGGGTGAGTGGGTGAGCGGGTACGTGGGTAGGTGGGTGAGTGGGTGGGTGAGTGGGTATGTGAATGGGTGAGTGAGTGGGTGGATTAGTGGTTGGGTTGGTGGGTGCGTGGGTAGGTGGGTGCGTGGGTAGGTGGGTAAGTGTGTAAGTCAGTGGGTGGGTGAGTGGGTATGTGGATGGGTGAGTGTGTGAGTGGGTGGATGAGTGGTTGGGTTGGTAGGTGCGTGGGTGAGTGGGTGAGTTAATAGATGAGTGGGTGACTGTGTTGTTGTGACCTGACGTGTGATGGTTGAAAAGGCCGCGGTTGCTTTTGTCAAATAATTATGGAAACAAACTATGACTTGCATAGCTTCTGTACCACTCGCCGCACTGCTGGTATGCAGGAGGTCGTCGGTTCAATCCCGACGCTGACACCTGGTTATATTTGGAGGTTACGTCTCCCCCCCCCCCCCCCCCCCCGTGGTCGCGTGGATTTTTCTCCGGATCCTCAGGTTTTTACACGATTTCTCTTAACTCACTCTGTTGTTGTTGTCGTATCCTTAAATCTTGTAACTCGATTTTAACCCACTTCCCAATGTGGTATCGACTATGTCATACTGATGACAATACTATATTCTATCATAAAAAAAATTACTAAAAAATATTTTCTATATATTATGTTTCGGCTTGGGTCTAATTGTCCACGGTAAACTGACGTTGGTTGTAAATCAGCACGGCCCCTTACGTTATGGCAAGCTTCGGGGCCACTTTCCGGAGTCGTGCAGTCTTTCATTACTCGTACGGTACATTTAATAAAAGCGTGTTTTTAAAAAAGTTTTCTAATATTACTTATTTTGCCTCCACATTTCGAATGAGCGTCACCACGCGTTTAGAGAGGACTCGGCTGCCGCCGCTGCTGCTGCAGTAAAATGTCCATGTGACCATGATGGTGGTAAGACGACTTCGTTGACCTGCTAAAATTTGTGAGCTCCGTAGCTCTATTTCAGAAGCCACCCCAGGCTATCACGAATGGTAGCAGCTCAACGAAAATTGTGTCGAGTGGAATTGTCCAGCAGTAGACAAACACTCCGAACGCGCGTTTCTAAAGGTAGGAGGGGGAAAAAACTGGGGGACACCGAGAAAAAAATCCACGCGACCACGGGGAGAGAGACAGAGAGAGAGACGCAAACTCCAAATATGCAGCAGGTGTCAGGGTCGGGATTGAACCCACGACCTCCTGAATACGAGGCGAGGGAGTTAACATCTCCTAGTCACCGTGACGATGATAAGAGACGCAAACTGCAAATACACAGCAGCAGGCGTCAGGGTTGGGATCGAACCCACGATCTCCTGAATACCAGGCGAGGTAATTAACATCTCCTAGCCACCGTGATGATGATGAGAGAGACACACACGCAAACTCCAAATATACAGGTGTCAGGGTCGGGATCGAACCCACGACCTCCTGTACACCAGGCGAGGTAGTCAACATCTCCTGGCCACCGTGATGATGATGAGAGACGCAAACTCCAAATACACAGCAGGTGTCAGGGTCGGGATCGAACCCACGACCTCCTGTACACCAGGCGAGGTAGTCAACATCTCCTGGCCACCGTGATGATGATGAGAGACGCAAACTCCAAATACACAGGTGTCAGGGTCGGGATCGAACCCACGACCTCCTGAATACCAGGCGAGGTAGTTAACATCTCCCAGCCACCGTGATGATGATGAGAGACGCAAACTCCAAATACACAGCAGGTGTCAGGGTCGGGATCGAACCCACGACCTCCTGTACACCAGGCGAGGTAGTCAACATCTCCTAGCAACCGTGCCAATCGGAGGTGCGAATCTCCCTCCCCGTGGGAGCCGAGGAGCCATATCCCTGACTCTGCTAGAAGGCAAAGTGTGTCGACTAATCCCCATCTGTTCCATCTGTATGGGGGATAGAGCGTTGTCCCCTCGCACAAGGCGTGGGGGTTTCTCCGGGTGTATCTGGTTTTCTCCTTCTCCTCCCCACGTCAATAATAAACACAACTCATCATTGTTTACGTGTTGAACTTCTTTCGCACCGTACGTAGCCAACCGTGTTAATTGCAGGGTGGGTGAGTGTGTGGGTGAGTGTGTGGGTGAGTGTGTGGGTGAGTGGCTGAGTGACTACGTGAGTCTCTATATGTGTGTATGTTGAACTTCTTTCGCACCATATATAGCCAAGCGTGCTAATTGGGGTTATCAACTCAAAACGTGGCTCTCCTTGATCAAATGAATACGTTACTATTATTATTCTTGTAAATAAATACGTGAATATTATTCTTCTTCTAAATCAATACATGAATATTATTATTCTTGTAAATAAATACGTTGTTTGGAAGAGGCTAAAATCCTCATCACCCCCCCACCCCCAGTTCTCCCGGAAGGATTAAATCCCGAGATATCAACACAATTGCACGCGCTAAATGGCTTAAAATGAAACTTATTTTGGGGGATTCCTTTCTCTACTTTAAATCGAACACTCACACGAGACTCGCTTTGTTTTGGTTTCGTTAAGAGACATCGCCTGCACGCTTGGCTTCTTTAAAAGTGAAAGTTGCGGCGGCGCCAATGGCGTTACGACATCGATGGACGTCGCGATTATGCCTTCACAGCGACGTCATAATGGCGTCGGTGACGTCACAATGGCGTCGGTGACGTCACAATGGCGTCGGTGACCTTGGCAAAAAACAGAATTTTGTTTCAACTTCGACGGCAACAGAGATGGACAAAATGGGTCCGGAGCAGGCGCAATTATAGAAATAAACGGTGCTTTTATTGCAAAGCCTTCGACAATCGCGACTATCCACGACAACGCAACCATTAAAAAATATATCTCGCGTGCATCCCGACGCACTCCCTCCCAGGAGATTGGGCACAGCACTCAATATCGCGATCTCCAACGCTGTAAACAGTTCAATTATTTCACATTCCCCCTCCCCACACCTCTTTGCCTATAGTCCTATAGTCCGATACAAACATCCACGCACTCCGGAACACGCGCCGATGGTCCCGTATGCGACCACGGTCGGTTACGGGCACCCACACTCACACACAGACACACAACCACCACCCCCCCCCCCCCTTGTATTTCTATGTACAGACTTCTAAACGCTGGCAAGATCGACAACCGCTGGAGTATTTACAAGACACTACGTGGGAGGCGCTGTGTATTTACAGGACACGCGATCGCACAGCAGTCCCCCCCCCCCCCCATTTCTTCCTTATATACAACCACCCCCCCCCCCCCCCACCGTCATCAGGAGCACCAATGTAAATTGGCCGTCTCACGTGTTGCACACCGCACTGCAACGTCACACGGTTATATTCGTACTCGGGGCTCGTTTTTGCGTGCACCCCTGCGATGCAAAGTTATGTTGCAAAACATGAATACGCATTTAGATTTGTGTGCGTGTATGTCTAGTGGCGCTTTGCTTGAATGCTCCGCGAGGCTTCTAACACCGTAACGTAATCCTTCTCAACCCCCACCTTTCCCAGCTGCAGGTTGGCTCTTTTAAGGGTTTAAAATAAGATGTGATCGGCGGAGATTCCCCGATTCATTTAAACCGAATCCGATAAAATATTGATCTGCTCAATGTGTTTTCGTTGTTTTTTTGTTAACAGACATTGCCTGTACGACGTTTTTTTAAAGACATCTTTAAAAGTTCAAGTTACGGGGGACGCTACCGATATCACAATGACACTGGCAATGTCATAACGACATTGGCGATGTGACAATGATGACGGCGACGTCACGGCGACGTGAAGCCTGCGCCAACAACGCATCTCTTCCCAACGAGCAGCAGCGGGAGAAGCAGCAAGTAAAAGAAAAACCCAAAATCCAACCCCTGCCTCAAACGTTCTCCTCTCTCTGCCTCTTATAAGAGAGTAAAATTACATTCATTACTACTCCTCACGGTGGCTAAGAGATGTTAACTGCCTCGCCTGGTATGCAGGGGTCGTGGGTTCGATCCCCACTCCTGACGCCTCAAACTACGCGTGCAACATTGTCGCTGACCAACAGGCGTAAGTCTCGACGGGGGGATTCGACCAATCAGAACGATGCCACTATTTGAGCAGCAGCAGCAGCAGTCGGCAGCGCCAGCCGACGTCGCGTTACATTCATTGCGACGACAAAACGCGAGGACGATTACACGATGCCACCACGTACAAGCACAGACCCCACGACTGTCACCACGACCAGCGACGTGATCGTCACCACGACGTGAACTGGACCACAGTGACATTTGCCAAACTACGCCGAGTCGGTGCATTGCCCGGGGCGTGTGTTATGGTCGGGGCGAGGCGCGACGTCCGTCGTTCCGCTCCGTGCGCCTTCTCGGGAGCTGCTCGCTCCTTTGCGGGAGAGTCCTCGCGTGGCGGCTCCGACTACCCCCCTCCTCTTCCCCACTCACTCCCACCCCACCACCACCCCTGGGGGGTGGGTGGGTACGGTGGCCCTGCTCGGCAAAGCGAGACAGATTTTAGTCGTCTTGGTTACGAGAGGGACCCCCACCCCCCCTCTCGGGGCGCGCTGCGCGGTAATCTGGCAGCCAGCGGGCTTGAGGAGGAACAAAAATTAATTAATGATAATTGTTATAATTATAAAAAATTATAAGAAATTATTAAAGTTAAATAATAATTGTTATCATCATTATCATCATCAGAGGGGCACGGCCCACACAGGCGGCCTCCGGAAGCGCGGCGGCACGACGCTTTCCGTCAAAAAACCACACGCACACACGCGCAGAGAGAGAGAGTAACGGACGAGAGAGACAAGCCCTCTCCTCCTCCCCCTCCCCTCCAGCGCGACGGCGGTGGACAAGTGGCGATGGCGGAGGAGTCGGCCTCCTCATCATCGCCTGAAGGCGCCCATCATCTTGGCGCCGAACTGGTACGTCAGCTTCTTCTTGATCTTGCGGATCTCGCCCGTCGCCTCGTAGTTGCGCAGCGCCCGCGCCAGCTTCTGGTAGGTCATCGCCTTGCGGTTGCCCTTCCGCTGGCCCCACTTCTTCGCCAGCTCCTCCTTGTGCTGCGACGAGAACTGGAAGATGCCCTGCCGCTCGTCCACCCACCAGATGCAGTGGCACATCCTCTGGTCCTGGAGGATCTCCATGAGGAACTGGTACAGCCTCGTCTTGCCTCGCTTCCCCACTGCAGGGAAAGAGAAATGGGTCACACGACGCACAAGAGACAAAGGTCCCCCCCCCATGTAGCCCCAACAGACTGCTGGGGCAAGTGCTGTTAGTGAGTAGCAGCATCTATGAGGGCCGGCACTGTGGCACACGAGGGGGTGGGTGGCCAGCACCACGCCCGGCCGCCTTTGTCTCTCCAGTGGCGATGATGACACTGCTTGTTGTTGTTGTCCAACCTCCGATTAGCACGATTGGGCAACGTAACATACCGAATCAGAATATTGTGTTCATACTACAGGGGGAATCTGATGAGCTATAAAGCTCTTTTTAACAGACGTCCAGTAGGGGGGGAGGGGACGTCACAACGACGACATTCCGCTTGCTGCTTTCTCACCTCCTTTCTCCCTCTTCACGGTCACGCCATGCGGTAGCTGCTGCTGCTGCTGCTGGTGGCGGTGGCGGCCCTGCTGCTGCTGCTGCTGCTGGCCATTGCCGCCAGCGACGCTGCCGAAGGGCGGCAGATCAATCTGTCGGCACCTCCTCCTGCACCCGTCCTCCTCCTCCTCGTCCTCCTCGTCCTCGCTCTCCGTGTCGGAGATCTGCAGCGTCGGGACGTCGCTGTCGTAGTCGGCGTCGTCCGCCGAGCTCAGCGTCGGGGACGGCACGGAGGGCGCCGTGTGGGGCTGCACAGGCACGCGGAGACAAAGCTTCCCCTTGTAGGCCGTGCAGACTGACATGCTGCCCCGTTCCCCACGCACCGCACCGGCGCAAAGATCCCCGCGTAGCCCGCGTAGGCTGTAGGGGCGGGGAGGGTGGCCAGCACCACGCCCGGCCGCCTTTGTCTCCCTTGTGACAATGTTTACTACACACCGCACCAGGTACTCATTTGAGTAGGCCAAGTCGACCTACGGGAGGCCCCCAGGACCGGTACAGATAATCGTCACTGGTGTTGGCCGTGAGCGGGAATTGAACTCGGGTCGCCAGGTGCGTAGCGCGCTAACCGCTACGCACGCACACACACGCGCGTGTGTAGTCACCTACAGCTTAATAAGACAGCGTGCCGTATCGGGACCCTGTCTTATTACACGCAAGCCCCGCAACAAAGCACCGACGGTTTCCATGGGGAGCGGTGGGAGAGAAAAACCGCGAGGGTTGGGGAGGACTTTTGGCGCGTCGGGTCACGTGACGTTGTTTTAGCGAACGTCACCGCACGGTTTTACTCGGTGCCCACCGCACGCACGGACAGACTGGAGGACAGGGGGGCGGACGGACTGATGGACGGACAGGGGGGCGGACGGACAGACGGACAGACGGACTGATGGACGGACAGGGGGGCGGATGGACGGACAGGGGGGCCAGAAGGACAGACTGGAGGACAGGGGGCGGTACGGACGGACATGTGAACAGGCGTTGCGGGGGAAACTAATCAGCGTCGCACATTGGAGGCTGGCCGAGAGACGGAATCAAAATTCACCTCATCGAGCAGGGACTGGTAGGAGGACTCGGAGCCTTCGTACCCAGACAGCGTCACGTCGCTCCCACTGATGAAGTTTTTATCTGCGGGGAGAAAGAGAGCGGGTTAGTTCGTTAGAGCGAGTGAGAGAGAGTGAGAGAGAGTGAGCGAGTGAGAGAGTGAGTTTGAGACAGAGATAGCGAGAGAGAGTGAGTTAGTGAGAGCGAGTGAGTTAGTGAGTGAGAGAGTGAGTGAGTGAGTGAGTGTGAGAGAGAGTGAGTTAGTGAGTCAGAGAGTGAGTGAGTGAGTGAGTGTGAGAGCTAGTGAGTTAGTGAGTGAGTTAGTGAGTGAGTGAGAGAGAGAATGAGTTAGTGAGTGAGTGAGAGTGAGTGAGTGTCTGAGAGCGAGAGAGATAAGGTTAAAGACCAAGAGAGAGTGAGAGAGAGAGAGAGGCATTCGGTTCAGGGTGTTGTACTTGTAGATAGGTTTTGAATCTGCTTTGGATCCCATGGTTATGTATGGGATGAAACGCGGGTTCTGTATGGGATGAGATGCAGGGTCTGTATGGGATGAGAAGAGGGTTCTGTATGGGATGAGACGAGGGTTCTGTATGGGATGAGATGAGGGTCTGTATGGGATGAGACGAGGGTTCTGTATGGGATGAGACACGGGTTCTGTATGGGATGAGATGTATAAGGGGCACGGGGTGACCACTAAGGTCTGAGTTGGTCTGCTGTAATAAGGTAGGGCACTGATCGGGGGTTGACAGCTACGAGACTGTACCTGGGTTCCCGCACTTCTGCAGCTCGTGTATGATGTACTGATCAATGATGTCCAAAGGGTCGTCGTACTTCTACACAGACGGAGAGAGACGGAGAGACACGTGCACACGTGAAGGAGTGTTCACACGTCGCGCGGTGTACAACGTTGGTGCACGTTCGCTCACGTGCGCGGGGGAGTCAAACGATGTTTTATTTTGTTCATTTATGACAAACTGACATCGGCGGAGGAGGTTTCAGAATCGAGAGTCTTGAACGACACTCGGAGCCAAGAGACCGGGGGGTTACAGGAGTCGTGAGACTCGGGGAGGCCGGGTTTTCTGGATCAGAGTCTGGATTGGGACTTGGATCCAGCTGACCGGAGTTTTCCAGATCGTGAGTCTTGAGACCCAGGAAATTTTAAAGATGTCCCACTGCTTCAAAAATGCCTTTTGGACTCGTGACTTTCATTTAACCTCCGCTGCCTTTTTACAAAGGCTAAGGACATTCTCAGTTTCGGGCAGGGCAGTCCGACAGGGTTAAGACATCTTTCTCCGCTAAGCACCCCCGCGTGTCTTAGACTCTCAATCAAAGCAGGGCATCGCCAGGGGTGCCGACCCGTGGGCTTGTTTACCAAGGAGATTTGTGACCGCGGGAAGGAGAGCTACCATCTTCGGCAATTGTTTGCATGGCCAGGGGGCGGCTCAACATGGCCATGTCCCGAGACAACCCTGAGCACAGCTGAAAAAACCTCGAATCCAGGGCGGGTGTCAAAGTCTTACCCTGGGCCCCACTCCACTGCCTATCTCGGTGATCTGGCCTCCTCCACCGTGCCCACCACACGTCCCACCCATCACTACCCCCTCCTCCACCCTGCTCACCACACGTCCCACCCATCACTACCTCCTCCTCCTCGTCATAGCCACAACACCTTCCTGCCCCCTTCTATTCCCAGCCTACAAGTTCATTAACCCGCTCCTGTCGTGAATATGAAGTAATTAAACGTCTCCTTACCAGGCTGTTGTCCGTATCCGAGCTGAATAAATGGAGGAAACACAGAGAAACGCAGAGGGAGGGGTTAATTCGTCCACGCTCAAAACACACACATACATGCACGCGTGCGCGCACTGTACAACTGTTAATAAAATGCGCAGACATCGCTTGCGAAAAGCAAAGATGATGTCAATCTTGATTTGTCAATCGTGCGTGTGTGTGCGTCTGTGCGCGCGTGTGTGTTCGCTAACAGCACTTGTCCCTACAGTCTGTTAAGGCTATACGGCGGATCTTTGTCTTTGTTGGGGAGCGGTGGTGTAGCGGTTAGCTAGCTGCGCTACGAACCCGGCTATGACCGGGGTTCGATGCCCGCTCATGGTAAACACCAGTGACGATTATCTGAACCGGTCCTGTGCCTCCCCCTCCTAGGTCGACTCAGCCTCAAATAAGTACCTGGTGCGGTGCGTAAACATCGCCGCTAGGCAGACAAAGGCGGCCGGGCGTGGTGCTGGCCACCAACCCCCTCGTGTGCCGTGCCGACCTTCACAGGTCATCACTAACAACACTTGCCTCAAAAGTCTCTTAAGACTAAAAGGGCATCTTTGTCTTTGTATAGACGCATTATATATGTGTGCGCGTGTGTGTGAGAGAGTAGTCACCTGTATGCTAATGATGCTTCATCATCATAGCTTGACGCTGCAAGACAGAACAAAAGCAGGTTTCTTTGATTAGATCACACAAGCAATCAAAACGAGTTTCAAAACGCACTGCTTAAGGCCAGCGTACATCAATATTGCGGTGTCTCTGTCCAACGCACAACGTACGGAAGATTCTCCGTATCAAATAAAATAAACAAAAAAATTACTTTGGCAAAGGAATCAAGTCCGCATTGACCACACGTACTTGTGGTGAGCATGCAAACAAACATGCTCTCGTAAAATATGCATTGTCTTTGAAACTGATCTTTTGTCTACGTTTGTATGGATGTGTGCATGGCTCGGTGCTTACCTAATGCGTCCCGCAGCTCGGCATACATGGGCTGCGTGGTGTGCATTGCCAGCATCTTCCGGATGAGAAAGGCTCTCAGACCAAGCTCTGCAAGATGCACAAGCCGACCGCACAGGAGGGGGAGGAGGAGGAGACACAGGCACGAGCGTGCGTTATACCACTGCGCGTGCATCGTTACGCTCACTTTAAACTTAAACCATGTTTCATCTTGATTTGAAGCTTTCGTGACTGCAGGAATCCACACTCTTTCTACCTACGTAAAGTCACCACGTAGGTAGAAAATAAAATGAATCACGACGTTTCCATCGCAACACAAGCAGTCGTCCTCAGGCAGAACCAATAGAACCCAGCAGTGGACCTGCTGTACGAGCGAGAGAGCAGCTACAACAAGAGGCTATAGATGTGGCGATGGGTAACCAGGTTAAGGCCCCACTGAGCTGACATGCAGGTCTTGTTCAGAAGCGGCCCTGGCTATGATCACACATGAGAGCCCCAATGCAGTGGGCTTATCGTCATCACCATGTGGAAATGTTATAGCAGCAGCCAAAATAACTCTAAAACGCGTGGTGATGTTGACTTCAAACATGTGGAGGGGGAAACACCGAAGGACCCGGATATCAATCCACGCGGCCACCACGGGGGGAGAGCGACACTCAAACTCTAAATATACAGCAGCAGGCGTCGTCAGGGTCGGGATCGAACCCACGACGACCTCCTTGCATACCAGGCGAGGGAGTTGACATTCCACACAAAAAATAAACGACAAACGCGTGCGATTCTGTGACCGCGATGATAACGTGTGATTTACCACGCAGAGCCCACTGAGCTACCACCAGGGCTCTTGTTCGGATGCGACCTGGCCACAGGTGATGACAGCTTCACCATCGCTAGAATAGCTTGCTTGATATCACCATCACTCACACACACACTCACACTGACGCAGACTAACTCACACGCACTCACTCACTCACAGGGGCAACAACAACAACAACAACCGCCGTTCGCCACTAAGTGGCGGTGGTGTCACCACGGCGTTTGTGCCAGGCTATGTGCACTCTGAGGCCACGTGAAGTGTCACACTCCCACAGACTCTCACTCACCACACACGTATGCTAACTCACTCACACACAGACTAACTCACTTACTAACTCACATGTGATCTCGGGTAGCGCAAACACGTGCGTGCATGCACACAGCAATTTATTGGAATGCAAAGACAAAGATCCCCCGTATAGCCTTAAGAGACTGTTTGGGAAAGTGTTGTTAGCGAAGAGCACCTACGAAGGCCGGAATGGCACACGAGGGGGGTGGGTGGCCAATAGCACGCCCGACCGCCTTTGTCTCCCCAGTGGCGACGTTTACACACCGCACAAGGTATTCATTTGAGGCTGAGTCAACCTGCGGGGGGCCCAGGACCGGTTCAAATTATCGTCACTGGTTCTGGCCGTGAGCGGGAATCGAACTCGGGTCGCCGCCAGGTTCGTAGCGCAGCAGCGGCGCTAAAGCAAAGATCCACCCCCTCGTACAAAGACAAAGCTCCCCCGGGTAGCATTTAACAGGCATGTAGGGCAAGTGCTGTTTGCGAGCAGCACCAGATCAAAGTCAACATGAGCAATTGCCATGTGTGTCTCTATACAAAGACAAAGACCCCCCGCATAGCCTGCAACAGAATGTTGGAGCAAGGCCGGCACACAATGCATGCATACACACTAAGTAGCGGTGACGTCACCACGGCGCTCGTGCCAGGCTATGTGCACGTCAAGACGGACAGACGTGCACATGCACACTCACTCACCCAATAGCAGTCAAGCGGGCAGTCGGACCAACTCTCCTCCCGACTCTCTTGTCGGGTGGCAAGCGACGTCGTGATGATGGCAGTGAGGATGGCAGCTTGGGTGGCAAGCGACGTCGCGATGATGGGTGGCAAGCGATGGCGTGCGAGCGAGCGAGCGCGAGAGAGGAGGTTGAGTGGGGGGCCGAGGTTTGCGTGGAGGAGGAAGTGGGGCAGTGTGATGTCTGTGTGTGGGGAAGGGCAGGGCGGTGTATTTATAAGAGCATAACGCAGGAAGAGAGAGGGGGGTGGGGGAAAGATTTCACCACGGCCCATCTCTAGTAAATGACGTCACGGGGGGGGCGGGGACGTCGTGACGTCACTGCCGAGCCGCTGCCGCTCAGAGAGCGAGAGCCGCGTGGCTTCCCAGAACCCCCCGTGACGTCACAGGGGGGGGGGGGGCAGCACCCCCGCCCCCCCATCCCCTACGCCCAGAGGTGGCTTACAACCGGATTGTCAGTGGGGTTACACATGCATGTGTGTGTAGTGTGTGTGTGTAGTGTGTTGGTAGTGTGTGGGGGTTACACATGCATGTATGTGTAGTGTGTGTGTGGTTACACATGTATGCATGTGTAGTGTGTGTGTAGTGTGTGTGTAGTGTGTGTGGGGTTACACATGTATGTGTGTAGTGTGTGAGGGTTACACATGCATGCATGTGTGTAGTGTGTGTGTGGTTACACATGCATGTGTGTGTAGTGTGTGTGGGGTTACACATGCATGTGTGTAGTGTGTGGGGTTACACATGCATGGGTGTGTAGTGTGTGTGGGGTTACACATGCATGTGTGTGTGGTGTGTGTGGGGTTACACATGCATGTGTGTGTGGTGTGTGTGGGGTTACACATGCATGTGTGTGTAGTGTGTGTGGGGTTACACATGCATGTGTGTGTAGTGTGTGTGTAGTGTGTGTGTAGTGTGTTGGTAGTGTGTGGGGGTTACACATGCATGTATGTGTAGTGTGTGTGTGGTTACACATGTATGCATGTGTAGTGTGTGTGTAGTGTGTGTGTAGTGTGTGTGGGGTTACACATGTATGTGTGTAGTGTGTGAGGGTTACACATGCATGCATGTGTGTAGTGTGTGTGTGGTTACACATGCATGTGTGTGTAGTGTGTGTGGGGTTACACATGCATGTGTGTAGTGTGTGGGGTTACACATGCATGGGTGTGTAGTGTGTGTGGGGTTACACATGCATGTGTGTGTGGTGTGTGTGGGGTTACACATGCATGTGTGTGTGGTGTGTGTGGGGTTACACATGCATGTGTGTGTAGTGTGTGTGGGGTTACACATGCATGTGTGTAGTGTGTGGTGTTACACATGCATGGGTGTATAGTGTGTGTGGGGTTACACATGCATGCATGTGTGTAGTGTGTGTGTGGTTACACATGCATGTGTGTGTAGTGTGTGTGGGGTTACACATGCATGTGTGTAGTGTGTGGGGTTACACATGCATGGGTGTGTAGTGTGTGTGGGGTTACACATGCATGTGTGTGTGGTGTGTGTGGGGTTACACATGCATGTGTGTGTGGTGTGTGTGGGGTTACACATGCATGTGTGTGTAGTGTGTGTGGGGTTACACATGCATGTGTGTGTAGTGTGTGTGTAGTGTGTGTGTAGTGTGTTGGTAGTGTGTGGGGGTTACACATGCATGTATGTGTAGTGTGTGTGTGGTTACACATGTATGCATGTGTAGTGTGTGTGTAGTGTGTGTGTAGTGTGTGTGGGGTTACACATGTATGTGTGTAGTGTGTGAGGGTTACACATGCATGCATGTGTGTAGTGTGTGTGTGGTTACACATGCATGTGTGTGTAGTGTGTGTGGGGTTACACATGCATGTGTGTAGTGTGTGGGGTTACACATGCATGGGTGTGTAGTGTGTGTGGGGTTACACATGCATGTGTGTGTGGTGTGTGTGGGGTTACACATGCATGTGTGTGTGGTGTGTGTGGGGTTACACATGCATGTGTGTGTAGTGTGTGTGGGGTTACACATGCATGTGTGTAGTGTGTGGGGTTACACATGCATGGGTGTATAGTGTGTGTGGGGTTACACATGCATGTGTGTGTGGTGTGTGTGGGGTTACACATGCATGTGTGTGTGGTGTGTGTGGGGTTACACATGCATGTGTAGTGTGTGTGGTTACACATGCATGGGTGTGCAGTGTGTGGGGGTTACACATGCATGCATGTGTAGTGTGTGGGGTTACACATGCATGTGTGTAGTGTGTGTGGGGTTACACATGCATGTGTGTGTAGTGTGTGTGGGGTTACACATGCATGTGTGTAGTGTGTGTGGTGTGTGTGGGGTTACACATGCATGTGTAGTGTGTGGGGTTACACATGCATGGGTGTGTGGTGTGTGTGGGGTTACACATGCATGTGTGTGTAGTGTGTGTGGGGTTACACATGCATGTGTGTGTAGTGTGTGTGGGGTTACACATGCATGGGTGTGTGGTGTGTGTGGGGTTACACATGCATGTGTGTGTAGTGTGTGTGGGGTTACACATGCATGTGTGTGTAGTGTGTGTGGGGTTACACATGCGTGTGTGTGTAGTGTGTGTGTGGGGTTACACATGCATGTGTGTGTAGTGTGTGTGGGGTTACACATGCATGTGTGTAGTGTGTGTGTGGGGTTACACATGCGTGCATGTGTAGTGTGTGTGGGATTATACATGCATACATGTATACACGTCGTGTACTGTGTATTTGTATTGCACACATGCACATGGCATGTACTTTGTATGTGAATTAAGGTTGAGTCGACCTAGGAGAGGCCCAGGACCGGTTCAGATAATCATCACCGCTGTTGGTGGCCGTGAGCGGGGATCTAACTCGGGTCACAGCCGGGTTCGTACCGCCGCGAGCTAACCACAACTCCCCCACACACACACTGTGACACACACTGACACACACACACTGACACACACAATGTGACACACACACACTGACACACACTGACACACACACACTGACACACACACACTGACACACACTGACACACACAATGTGACACACACACACTGACACACACTGACACACTAACCACAGCTCCCCCACACACACACACTAACCACAGCTCCCCTACACACACACACACTCTCCACGAATCGCACTCAAAGATCTCGCCCGTATAGCCTCAACAAACTTTTAGGGGCAAGTGCTGTTAGTAGAGAGCGCCTATGAAAGTTGGCACTGTGGCACACGAGGGGTGGTAGGCCAGGAACCACGCCCGGCCACCTTTGTCTCCTTAGTGGAGAT